TGAATATTATAGCTGTGTAAACTCAGCAAAATATTCTAAAAGAGTCCAGTAGCCCATAATAGCATTGGGTCTTCTGTTTAACTGGCAATGACAGAAATTATTGACCTGAGTCACTCACAGCTCCTTGGTGGGTTCTTAAGAGACTTCTCCAAAGGGCTCACGGCTATGTCTGCATACACCCTTGCAAAGCCAGTTGGGAGAGCCCAGTGTCCCCGTGCTCCTGAGTCCAGACAAGTTTTGGAGGACTCATGAGGATGGGGATGCAACCTGGTCTTAACAATGGACTGAGCAGGAGACAACAGAACACTGGAGACAACACAATTAAAAGTCAGTGAGATTAAGTTAGTAAGGGGAGATGGCTCAGTGAAATAAGCGCTTCCCTGGCAAGCGCAAGGGCCTGAGTTCAATCCCCGGTTCCACCAAAGAAAAAAAGAAAGAGATTAAATTAGTAGGAATCATAAACTTTTTTTTAGATAGGGTTTTAAAAAGACACACTTCTGAATGCACTTGTAGCCCAGGCTGGCCTCAGACTCACAGAAACCCTCCTACCTCAGTCCCTGAGTGCTGGGATTCCAGGCATGTGCCACCACACCTGGCTTCCATTTTAAAATTTGCTTTCAAACAATAGGCTGCTCAAGTTCAAGTCAAGAAAGATTTAGTAGGCAACAAATGCTTAAAAATGGTCTAGATATTTTAGTTGATTATAAATTTAAAATGGGTCAAGACTATGACAAATTTCCTAAAAGAGCTATCACAGTTAAGAGAAAGTGGAGACCCCGAGAGCACTGCTTTCTTTCCTGGAAGCAAGTAAGAGCAGAAAAGGAGGAAAGATAGCAATGAAGGGAGAAAAGGTTATTAGAAAAGAATTAAAGAAGGGAAGAAACTTCAGTATGTGTTTAGGCTAAGGGTAGACTACATTAGGGAAAAGAGGAAAAGAATGAAGGACAATTTTAAAGCGCAAATTACCAAAAAGCTAATTATAAAAGAGCAAATTGTAAAAGAGCTTGTCTGACTTGGTTTTGAACTGGAATTACTTGGAAAGTCTAGATGGAAAGCAGAAAGGGCGGGAATGCCTGAAGATACGATGAAAGATCTGGGAAAGAATTCAGGCACTTGAGAAGAACACAGGCTGATGTTTCCAGTTTGGGGAGCAACACTCCGGCGGGACAGGCGCTGCAGTTTCTTCCAGAGGCAGGGCGTGGAAGGACAGAGCCGAGGGGATCTGGAAGCGAAGAAGAAAGAAGAGGGCCGTTAGAAGGGGCTCTGGGCCTTCCAGAAGGGACACAGGCCTTTGGCAGGTTTCTCCTTAGTCTTTGTAAGCCAGCGGCATCAAGGACCTCAGAAACGTTAGCGCCTGAGCTCGCTTTTTTACCTGCTCTGGAATGTGGGGCCAGTTGTCCCAGGCATGCGGCCAAGAGTCACATGCAAGCGGGGCACAGTGACACACGCTTGTAATTCCAGCCCTCAGGGAGGTTGAGGCAGGAGGATTGCAGTTAGAGCACAGCCTGGGAAATGTGGCAACCTAGAGGGAGACTGCAATAAAAATTAAGCAAAGGTGTGTTTGTGTGTGGGGTGGAGGGGCTTGGTTGGGATGTAACTCCGTGGTAAGGCCTTGGGTTCAGTTCCTAGTACTGGGGGAAAAATCACATGCTGAAAACACGCACACACCAGCAACCCACTGGGGACTCCTGTGTCTCTCAGGAGCTACTCCTAGCCCCTGCTCCCCATTCCTACCCCCCATTCCTCCTCCCCAATAAATTTTCCTACTCTTAAAGCACAACACACACACACACACACACACACACACAAACCTGAAAAATGGAATTCTTAAATGTATTCCAGGAAAAAGGGTCATGGGAGACAAGAATTTTAAACACATATTCTTGCAATGCATAAATCTTCATGTACGAATTAATGACTCTGGCAGAAGCGGATATGTAGAATCTATCCAAAGGCAATGGTTAAGATGATGAAGTCCAGATGAGTCTCACAGATACAGTTCTTTATCAGATAATGGCTGAAGTTAAGGAAAACATTTCAAAGTGGAACAGTGAAAATCCGACTTTTGAGTGACAGGTGATAAGAAATCACGTCATTCCACACACACCCCCAAAGCTAGAACACCAGGCGTACGCTTCACTCTGTCCTCAAAATCCTACGAAGGAAAAACGATTAGGAAGACAGGGCCCTTAACAGCATGAGATCAGCCGCGTGAGTGACGGGCACAGCGTACAGCGAAGCCATGCAAGAAGCCAAGTCCTCTGCGAGCAGGAGCACGGGTTCCTGAGGAAAAAAACTGGCGGAGAGCCGAGAACCAGAGCAAGCGCGCCCCGAGAAGCCCCGCCCCGCCCCG